GAATTTATAATGATTAGTTACACTCACGTAGCATCTATTCACTAGAAATGCATGGCTTTATGTTTTCGCGGGCACTGTCAGTGTCCACAGTAGGCTTTGTCTTGACCCATGGAAGCCTCTTCTCCATTTCAAGTGAGTCTGCTGCTGCTCGGGGAAGTGTTGCAGTTCTTTTAGTGATCATGTTTATAAGGACTGTATTGGGAAGTGAAACTTGTTCCTGATCTCACCAAGCATTCAGGCTGTCCTTGCAGTAAGTGACTAGTGTGCAAGGTTTGGTGATTATTAATTCATGGCAATGATAATTATCAGTGATGATAATAGTGATTTGAGGTTTTGGGTGCAATTGTGAATGCTTTCTTTGGACCGTCTAAAATCTTCTGCTAGATTGAAGCATTTGGAGGTAAAGCTGTTTTTTATGTAGCATGTAGCTCATTCCATAACTGCTTTGAGGGGAGGAGGAGGAATTTGGCGCTCAGGAGTGTGTTGCTTCCATTATTGTTACTTGTGAAGTCGAGATGAGGATGTGTTTGGCCACCTCAGTAACAATATTTAGTAATCTGTTACTATTCTGTAACAATGAAACTTCCACATTTTTCATCTCATTTCTTGAAAAATTCTAGCACTGTGTATGTTGAAATAATTATTCTTGTTGTACTCAGGACTATTTCCATTTCTGTTGTGTATGTTCTGAGATGCCCAAAATGGAAATACGCTTATTGAACATACTGCACATGACAGCACATTCATAAATTGGCCCAAGCAGGGATGTGAAGTCTTCCATACAGGTATCTCTTCACTCCAGTAGTGAAGTTCTTAGATATCTTAACTTTTTACTAACTTGTGTCTATGTAGCCTTTAGGTATGGAAGGGCATAAAATATTGAGGTATATTGAGACATAATAATGATTCTTGCCACTCATTTAACCAACTTTAAGGCTGAAAGAGAATTTTTTTGAGACAGGTGGGGAACATTATGTGTGTTAGGTTGAGTTGCCATCCTGTTGCCAGCTGTAATAAACCTTTGGGGAACTCGGAAGTTGAAGCTACTGAATTAAATGCAGTAGTTTTCCATAAGAGTCTAGGCATGCTAAAGTTGTTGCTGGAGGTTTTAGATAACACTCTGTAGCACGACCCTAAAGCCTCATTTATATCATGGCAATTAAAATATATATGCTGCATTATTTGTCTCTTGTACTTTTCCTGTATTGCAGCGTAGTTTGAGTTTTCTATTTTAAAAAAAATGTTTTTTCCTTTTTCAGTAGAGTGAGTTTATTTCACATTGCAGTAAGTGGTTAAGAGGGAAGCTCTCAAAGCTGCCCGTGACACTTAAGCTCCTGCGTGCGGCTCTGCTTCCGTGCTCTTGGGGCATTTCGGTGCTTGGCTGTCCACAACACGTATAAGATCACTTTTCACTTCGTTGAAGTAGTGCTTTTGGTTGTTATTTGTATGCATTTGTATGCATTTGTTTGTTGGGTAACGAAATACTGGCTTTAACGTGAGTCGCAGGCTTCCAGGGTGGCCTAACACGCGAGGAGGTGACTTCTCTGCCTGCTGGGGTGCTGCTTTTGTTCTGCTTCTGCTAGATAAAGCTTAAAAGAAATATATGAGGGGATGGGCGTGAATATATAAGAGCTGATGCATCCATCCAGAGATTAGCATGTGGTGGCCTGTTTCATCCAAAGAGGAGCCTGCAGTGTTGAGCATATTGCTTTTATGATGGCCGGAGATCCCAATATTCTGCGACACGAACAAGAAGTGGAGAGCATCCCCAACCCTTGCACCAAGGAGAGGATTGGAAATTTGGAATAGTGACATACATCAGCCTGTTCATTTGTGGCTTCCTTCAGCACATACAGGCCCTTTCAAGCTAATACTGTAGCACAAAATCTGTAGCAGTATCTAGTCGGGCCCTTTTGACATCCTTTTGTGAGCGGATGATTTAGTAGTTCAATAGCTTTGTAAATATTGCTCTGTGAAAATTCTCTCTTTCATTTAATTGGAGCAAAGCTATTTGGTGAGCCCTAAATATTGACATGTGGGGGGAAAATTACTTGCAGATGAAGGCAAGTGTCTCTGTAACATGCTACAAAATAAATTTAATTCTATTTGGCTTAAAAATTTAATCTGATTTGTCAAGAAAACTGTTCATGTGTCAAATTAGTTGCTGTGTTCCCTCGAGTTTGTATTGTGCTCGTTACCAATATTTCACGTGAGCTGCTCCGTAGGTGTAGGGAAAGAAAGCTAGTCAGAGGCCTTTGGCTAGGTCCTGCAGGGCTGCAGCTTTTGTGGTGCTGAAATCACAGGGGGGAAAATGAAATGTATTGATATTTGTACATTAAGATTTGTTTAATTGTTTTTGAAGATTTGGGTGAGAAAGCTTGTTTATGTTGGGCTGATCCTTAGTATAAAGGAGCAGATGCAGGAACTGACTGTCTGGAAATACATTTTGTCAGTAACTTGGGACATTTCTCTTATGTTAAGAGGAGAAGGCTGGATTTTTTTTTTTTTTTTTTTTTTTTTTTTTTTTTTTTTTTTGAAATAAGATGGAGGGGAACTGGCAAAACCAAAAATCTCACCCAGTGGAACGAACTGCTGCAGTGCTTAAATGAAACATCGCCCCGCAGCAGCGAGGCGCGATTCCGTGTCCTGCTGCTTGGGCTGGTCTCACGGTGCCAAGCGCTTCCTGGCGGGCACATCTGAAAGGCAGCTTTTCCTCTGTCTCCCTATTTAGGGGTGTGTGTGTATATACATGTGTATGTGTGTATTACTGGCTGATAAAAATCATTTTCAAGGTGTGAACCTGCAGTCTTTAAGTATTCTCTAGAAAGCATGCTGAAAGATGCTGTGAACTTTCCAGAAGTTAAAGGTTACCAGAGGTATTTGGCCCTTAACTCCCTAGGCATCAAGACCATAATATTTTAATTTTCAAAAATATCCCAGCCCCAAAAAAAACATCCTCATGTTTGTTTATAAAGGCACTGAGGTCACTGCCAAGGTGTTCCAGGATTGTGGTACTATTAAACGGCTTGAATGTGGTGGTGTGATCGTTGCTGTGTTTCTCGCTTTGTGGGATTTTGTTGGTTGGGGTTTTTTTGTACATTTTCATGCCGTGTCTAGAAAGGCACCAGGTAACCCAGAAAATCACCTTCTTAAGCAGTATTGAATCCATTCAGTTTTGTGGGAAGCAGATTAGTAGTTCTCTGCCCCACAGTGTAGATTAAATCCTTGAGGATTTTAGTTACGTCTAGTAACAAAGCATTATGCAAAGAGGGGCTTGGGTTGTGGGGAGAAGCAGCTACATGAGCTTGGAATCTTGGGGGAAAAAAAAAGATGAAATTTATTTCATCTTTGATGAATACTGCAGAGTCAGTCTTCCCACAGCACAATTGAGAGATGTTAGGAATTAGTGGCCCTTTAAAGCCTTGAAATGCTCCGATGAAAGGAGACATATGTTTCCCCGTGAAGTCTTTCTACCGCAGCCAAATATTTGTGTGTGTCAGTCAATAGTGAGTTTACATCTCACAGTTTAGCATTAATAGAATACAGTATTCATAAATGTTTTTAAGGTTGTTTTACATGAAAAGAGCTTTGATTCGTTACTCAAAACATTTAAAATATTTGTGTTGCGTATAAACTAAAACATGCTGTGTGGACATGCATGCATCTGCGTAGTCATAAATTGGAAAAAAATCCATGTTACTACAATTTTTTTTAACTTAAATTTATTCTTCCAGTTAAAGAACACTTGAGAATTTTTTAAATATATGAGACATTGCTTGAGCGGAAGAAGGCTTTTTGGTCTTCTAGTATGTATGTATTCTATGCGATGTAGCACCTAATCTTCAAACTCCTGAGTTGAGATTAACACAGGTCAAGAGACGTGAGAGCTTTTCAGAGAATTTCCAAAGAGAGTGATAAAAGACCTCCCATTCAGAAGTAGGAATTACAGTTCAGTAGCAAAATCACTTTAACAATTAATTTGTTTGATATTAAGTAACTTCAAAATGAAAGAGGTGAAGAAATCTAAGGCAAGCCAGATTTTGTTGAGCAGACTGGAAACAGCTTGTTGCTTTGTGCTACATGCTGTAAATTATCACTTTAATTCTATATCACAAAGGACTTCACTAATAATACAGACACTTGGTGAAATAATTGTTTGTGGTATTTAAGTATCCTGAATTGAGAGGTTCTCCTTCAGACAAGGGAGAGAAACCTAGTATATTAAGTTGTTCAGCTATCAGAAAGACTCAAGAGGTTCGTTTGCAAAGCCTATTAAAGTCATCAGAAATGTTCCTCATTTGGATGTTTGGTTGGCTCTTTTTAAAGATACGGATTTTATTTTACATTTTGTTTTACATCGTAGGTATTTTGCTAAGTGTGCTGAACCCTAGAGTTGAAACTAAGTCTCTTTATTTTTAAAACTAAGTAGAATTAAACATAAAAGAAAAATGTGTTTCTTGAAGTAGGATTTCTTAAAAATATAATGACATTTACTTGATTGTAGTTTCTGACTTAAATATTTAGCCACTTCTGAGTGGAAATTATATACTTGATGAGAGAAGCATTCTTACACAGCACCGCTGTTGCTTTTATAGCTGGAAAGCTCTATGGTAAGAACGTTCTTGGTAAGAACAATTGCTTAAGAGTAGAATAACAATAAAAATATAGCAGTAGAAATTGCAGAGGTCTGCGTGGCAGAAGCAGGCGCTAGAACAGAGGTTCCTAATGAGCCAGAGAAAGTCAGACTTGCTCCTTAGGCCTCCGCCCTTCTGGTAAAATCCAGAATGAGTAACGTAGCCAAAACCGCTTTCTTAAAGCTGAAAGGCAGCTGAGATTCCCGTTGGTGCTCGGGAGCCTCGGGGAGGCGCGGGGCGGCCGGAGGCTGCAGTGGTGACCCGCCGGCGGGGCCTCTTTGTGCTTGCGTTGCAGGTGAGCGTGAGCTGCGCGGAGAGGAGAGCCCCCGGCACGCTGGCCTGATGCGCGCACGGAAGGCATGAAGCATGGATGTGAAGGAACGTCGGCCTTACTGCTCCCTGACGAAGAGCCGGCGGGACAAGGAGCGGCGCTACACCAACTCGTCGGCGGAAAACGAGGAGTGCAGAGTGCCGACACAGAAGTCGTACAGCTCCAGCGAAACCCTGAAGGCTTTTGATCATGATTCCTCTAGGCTGCTCTATGGAAACCGGGTAAAAGACTTGGTCCACAGAGAAGCAGATGAGTATTCGAGACAAGGTAGGCGAGAAGTTTTGATACAGAGTGCGTAATTCGCTGCCACCGTGTAGCAAGATGTGCCGTGGCCTCTGTGGGAAGAGGGTGTTATTAGTATTCAAAATACTCTCCATACATAGTGCACTTCACTTATATCTCTTGAATATTTCACAGAGATGGGAAAGCAATATGCACCACCTTTAAAATACATAATACACAACGCGCAGGAGGGTTCAGTAAATGGCCCATATTGGGTAAGTTGTCAGTGGCAGCATCACAAGCTCGGGTCTCAGCTACTCAATCAGGCCTTAGTTTTTAAAACTGTGCTCCCAGCATCCCTTCAGCTGATTAACAGGTTTTTTAGAGAGACATGAGACTGTACTTTACAAAGGTATCATTTAGGGGTTGAGCACTTAGGCATCGAGTTCCAGAATTTTTTAGGTTCAAAATTGTAGTCTGGAATTGGCTTTCCGACATTCTACCTTAGGAATGCACAGTGCAAGGAAAAATGCTGAAATATGTAGAGTGCTGGAGCCTAGCTATCTGAAAGGATAAAGGCCAAGAATTGTGTGGAGCCTCAGCCCTTCTGTATAAAACTGTCTGGGTTTATTTGTGTGTGTGTGTGTGTGTGTGTGTGTGTGTGTTTTGTTTGTTTGTTTTGCTTTAGTGGGAGGAAAAGAAGGGGACAATTTATGGGTAGAGAAAAAAACTTTTTCCATGTGAGAATCTACTCTTAGTTTGCAACTTAGAAATATTTTTCCCTGTTGGTGCTTTTTCCTTTGTTCTGAATAGAGCAGCTTTACATTAGAATTAGAGCTATGCAGATGGTGTTGACTTTTTCCCCCCTACAAATGTTTGTAAAGGAAATAAAAATATTTCTGTTAAGCTCGTGTAACCGAGGGTTGCTGCTACTGTAGTCTGTCTGATCTCTGCTGTGTATTTTTATCTTCTGTGATGTATTGGAACCAGGTCATCACTACTTCCTAATTTTTAAGTGATTAGTCACCCTCAACTGATTAGTTTTCTAAGGAAAAATCAAAGAAGAATGAATTCTAAGAACTGTACTATAGCTGCTTTTTTAGTACTAGTGGAAAAAATCATACCAAAACAAAATTCATAAACATTCAAAATTGATTTTTTGAATGAATAGATGAAAAAAGCAGTGAATGAAAAAAGCAAAAAAAAAGCAATGTCAACATTGCTATTTTTTAAAGAAAATTGTTCTTTTTAAATAGAAACAATAGAATGGGAGAGTCGAGTAAAGCAGCATGTTATAGATAAAAGGGCATTGGGGTTTTTTCTTTCTTTTTTTTTCCCCACCTCTCTCCATTTCCTTCAGAAACATACGCAATATTTAGCTAAGGCCTATTGCCCACTGTTCAATACATTGCACATCTCCAGGCCTAAAATGGCAGCCTGGAGTGTGTAGGGTCGTCTTCCTCTTGTGGTCTCGGCACTGCCTTCCTCCTTTGATTTTCCCCCTTGTGCTCTGTGTGGCTTATTGCCTTTCTCTGGTGCTTGCTTCAGCACCTGTGGGCACTACCTGCGGGTTTGATGGGGTCAGCACAAGGAGGGCTTGTTTTGCAGTCTGAGGTGCTGTGCTCCTTTGATTCCTCTTTGAGAGAATTTACTGCTTCTGGCATTGCAAGCGGTTTGTGCAAAAGGTGATCAAGGTCGTTCCAAAGGTTTCTAAATAATATATAAAACATACTTCCCTCTTCTTTTTTCCTCTCTAGAAGTCGAGCGCAGATATGTATTTTGACAGTTCTAGCCTGCTGCATCAATGGGAAGTACACCCACGAGCAAAAAAAGGCAGTTTTTTAGTAAGTGCCTTGAATTGGAGATTTTTTAATTAATCATTACCAGTGGTTTTGTTTCTTTTGCACAAACTCTATAAAATAACAAATACTACAAAATTTCAGGTGTGCAGAAGACAAAAACAAACCCCAAAAAAGCTGCTGCATCAGTTATTTGGTTTGTTGTTCAAAAGCCTCTTCTGTGGCCCAGTGAAAACATGCGAGGCTGTAGTTGCTGCTGACCTTTCTGGGGCGAGACCCTTCACAACCCTGTTAATGCACGGGAGCTTATGCACCTCTTCTGCCTGCTTTGTCTTGGTGCACACGGCTGTGCTTCTTGCTCCCCAAATCCCATGGGAGATCTCGGAAAGGAATGCTGACCTAAGGAGATAAGTGTGCCCTGCTTGGTGTTAGCCTTATCCCAGGAAAGCTTCTCTTTTGTAGAGGAAATTCCTCAGTTACCACAAGCTTTTTCTTCAATTTCTTTCAATTTCTGTTGCTTGAGACTGATTGCATAAATAGAAATATCAGCCTGAAGAGACGTGTTTGTCATTTTCATTCTAAAAACAGCATTTTAAACACATGTTAAAGTATTTTAACATGAAGTTATTATATAACTGGCAGGATCTTGGTGTTTTTTGAAGCCAAGAGTACAAGTCATCACATCCTGCGGAGCTGTCATTTGATGTAGGCAATATGTTTTAAGTAAACTTCAGCAGGAGTCTACTGTGCTCTCCGTCCTTCTTCAACCCTTTCTGCATTGCAGGACTGTTTTTGTTTTGAAACCCTTTTAAACAATAATTATTTAATCTTTTTTTTGAATTTAGTAATGAGATTTTTAAAAAAGTGAAAATAAACACAAGATTTTAAGAATTGATAAGTCAGGGAATAATTAAACTCTGCAACCAATGTGTAAATAAAGATTTTGAGCTTCTCTCTTTTTTTTTTCCCCCAATTTAAAAAAACCTTTTTAAAATTAGATACGTGGTTTTACATAGCGTACTTAAGTAGATATCTCATGCTTGATAAGGGGCGAAGCGACAGTGAGGTTGTCTTCTGTTCGTGGTTTAGAGAGGAAGATAACTCCTATTAGTAATGTTTTGAAGTATCCAACTACAATGAGCAGCCTGTTTTAAATGTACAACTTCTTTGATTGAATTCAGTGACCTAAGTGCTTATACTTGGGATATGCCTAAGTACCTTGTTGAATTCCAGATTAAAGCTGACTAAAATCTATTTTCTCTGTTGCAGAGAGAGAAATCTATGTTCTCTGTTGCGTTTACCAAATTATATTTGTAAGGATTATGCTGTGCATAAGAGGCTGCTGTCCTAGAATAGTTACATGGAAGTGTTACATAACTATGGTTTGTGAGGGAAAGATTGTAGAAGTAGTGAATATTATTCTTTTTTATTGAGTTTGGAAAAAAAATTATTGAAACTACAACAATGAGAAAATAATTTGAAGAGGGTGATGAATCAAATCTGCAAGACTCAGAAGAGTTGAAAAGCTTTTTGTACAGCTGTATTATATTTGTAAAGCTAACTCAAGCAGGCAAAGACTGTATTTAACTTCAGATGTGTTTTAAAAGGAAGAGAGGAATATGCAATATCTAATAGGTTGTCGCACAGGAGTAGAAGTTATATTAAATGGGCAGAACTCATGCCGCTCTCAGGCAGGAGAAATAATGGGTATTTCTTCCCTTTCAAATAATTTTGGTTTTGCAAGTGTTGTGGTTGTGCTGGATGATCCACCAGTCAAGTCAATGCATTCCTTTGCAGAAATGGGAGGCTGACCCACTCCCACAGAGGCCAGGATATGCCCTACTTGTGCACGTGCATATTTTCAAACAAAATAATTGCTGCACTGTTTGAGAGCTCTGTGAAATAAAAAACTGAGCAGCGGGAAAGCTTTTACTAACAGGAGACCTGATGAGGCAGCGTTGCTTTTGTTAAATTTTTGCTTTTTGAAAGCTTGATTCAACGATGCTTTAGCCTGCAGGTAAAGTTATTTGGTTCTTCTAGCTGGCAGTGAGTACAAGTTCACTGTGTTTAACATGCAGCACAATTTCTTATTAGCCCAGCTTCATATTGCCCCTTTCAGTTTGCAGGAGAAAGTGCTTGAGTGCATGTTTCTATATTGCTACTGTTGTGGAATAGTGAACTGCCTGAATTGGCCCAAGTAGCCTAACAACTCCTTGCACCAGCACAAAGAGGGACTGAACTTAGCAAGCAAACCAAACAGGGAATTCCTTTTTTGCCAACAAGCTGGATAACACTGAGGAGGTCGCTGAAAGACAGACCCCTGTAAAGTACCTTATGCTATCCTCGTGTTGGAGCTTGTGCTCAGCCCTCACTCCTGTGACAGAAGCCAGGAAATGGCTGGATGCTGGAAAGAATCTCGCCATTCAGCAGAGGAGGGACAATTTTATTTTATTATTTGGGATATTAAACACGGTCAGGGCTACATGTCTAAGGGTTCAGAAAGCTGGAGCATTTAATCATGACATCTATCCTAATGTAATGTGATTTCCAAGTTTTATTGCTTTTAAACATTAGCTACTCAAAATGATTCATTTGGATAGCAAATGATTAATCTTTTTTAGGCACCATAAATGTCAACTGTAGGATTAAGGGATTTAAATAATCATGGTTTTCACCCTAAAATTCATGTACTTAAAACTCACCTGTCTATCCTGCCATTGCTTCAGACAGCAAAAAAAAAACCATTTCTGACCTTCCCCTGCATGTGCCTTATTGATGGACTAATTTTTTGGAATTGGGTAGGAGAGTGACTTTCAATAGAACAGCATCGGTCTGCTTTGTAGATGACTTGCAGAAAGGTTTGAAATTATATATAAGTGACTTTGTGCCTTGCTGATGAGCAAATTAATCACATTCAGTGCCATTGCAAGTGTACAGCTCCTTAGAATTTAAGGCAGTTACTAGAATTAGCATTTTATGTTTGTGAAAGATGTGTCCCTTATTGTGATTATGACAGATAGGTTTTTTGTTATGCTAAAGCACGGCCACCCGCAGTATCTGCCTGATTTGAGAGGATCTCTCTTGTACAACGTGAAGGTGCCAGGACGTTTTGGGTAATTTTGTGGCCTTGAGCTAGACACATACCCTCCTGCCAGAGGGGTTTCTTTTCTGTCTCTTTTTTTTTTTTTTCCCCTCTCCTCTGCTCCCCTAATACAGGGATAATAATGCTTACCCGCCTCACAGGCG